GTTGGCAAGCATCATATGTGGTTGGCCGACTCGGCGAAGCGCATTCCCAACGTGTCACCAGGGCAATGTGAGGCAAGTGAGTGGGTAAGGGCTATGGACCATCTTGCCGGTACGGGTGTTAACGAGTACCTGGGATATGGGTGGAAAGGCTGGCTTTTCTGGTTACGCGAGAGAAGATTTTGCAATCTGCTGATGGGCGGTATATGGAGTCCGTCCATACATCGTGTATTCAGCACGGGGAAGAGGAAGTGCTGGGACGGAGCGAGGGAGGCCATCGAAAGAGTCAACGAAGGGGTTGCCAAGATGAGAGAAAAAGCGAAGAAGAAAGCAGTTTGAGGTTGGATGGAGTCTTGGTTTCGCGAATACACTGGAGCGTGCTCGAATGTTCCTTAGTGGTGAGCTTCCCCACCCATGACGCCAGGCTGTATCACCGAACTTACAGGCGGTAACCTTTGGCACCACGCAGCACAGCGCATATATGCTCTGCGGCAAGTACGTGGATGTTTATCGCGTTTTCATAATCTATCAAGCTAGTATTGCACACTCTAAACTGGGTTGTCTGCGTTGTCAAGGTGACGTGTAAGGGTCAACCTAGGTTACCATCTCATAAGGCTGGAGTTTAACCAATCGCACGGGCCGTTGCACGACAGCTGGGGAAGTCGCAACGGGCGACATCTAATTTCGATTTCTTTCCACGATCGCCACCCCGCAAACACTGAACGCATCGATTCCTCGTTCTACGGCCAGAGGCAGATTGCCCGTTGCCTACACCGAAACACAACACACGAAGCAGCAACCGGCATGGCGACCCAGACGCTACATGGCAGTTGCGCCTGCGGCAGGAACCGCTATGTTATCGAGATGCCGAAGCAGCAGATTGGGCAGGCAGAGCTGCGATACGACAACACTTCTGCGTCGCGTAAGTACACGGCGTGTTTGCTGTGCGGCTCATGTATCCCTTTTGATGGGTCACGTCATGGGCTGTCGCTAACAACAATACAACAGGACATCACTCGGCCAACCCTCTCACACTATGGCTCCGTGTACCTCTGCCCTGGTACACCTCTGCGACATTTGCGCAGTTCCTCGACGAAACCCCTATGAGCATCAAGCGCAGCTTCACCTCCCCGTATACCCCGAATAGCCGCCGTCAATTCTGCGGATACTGCGGTACTCAGCTCACATCATGGAACGAGCGAACGCGCGACGAGGCCGATCACATCTCCCTGACAGTCGGCAGCTTGCTGGACGAGGATCAGGAGATGCTGGGTGAACTCGGCTTCCTGCCTAGTAGCAGCGAAAGCAGCGACGACGAAGTGTCCGTTGCTGGTCCCTCAAGGACGACTGACCGCTCGCGCTCCGTCGCCCGTTCAGAACCACAGTCTCGCGGTGCGCCTTGGTTCGAGGAGATTGTGCGCAACACTCGTTTGGGCCGCTTCAAGCAGCAGCGCGGGGGACACACTGAGAGCGGCGTGCACGTCGAGTGGGAAGTCACCGAGTGGACTGAAGGCGACGACGGCGACGACGAGGGCAGCGCCACACCCAGCAAGCGGAAGATTGGCGATGTGGACGGTTCTGACGATACCGAGATGCGCAGCGCATAAGCCTGTCATCTCTTCCTTTCATATGCGGAATGACATGGATGTGGAAATGTCACTAGAATTGGCTTCGCTCACGCGTGGATGGGGACGAAACGTATGTAATCATCGATCCTCTGGCAGAGCGACACGGACTTGGAGTTGCAGGTGCGTTTATTTTGTGTACAGTATTCGAAAATGCATCTTGCAGCGATGCAGCAATTTACTTTCTTTTTTGCTGAGTACATCTCGCTGGTCTCTTCTGGTCATATCATGCTTTTATTCTGCACTTTTCTTATACGTCCAGAGTCAATGCATCGCAAGTTGTCGATTGGCAGGAACGATCAGGGCCATTAAGACGCGTGGGGGATAGCGCAGACATGCCATCCTAGCGCGTAAGCGGCAAGCCTACGGAGGGCCGCCTTCCGCTGTGTAGACACCACTTCCTAGGACCCCCAAATGTGTGGAGAGCAGCCATCACCTCAACCACAATCACGCAAGCGCTCAAAATCACCCTGACAGCATTTCAAATTTGTCTTCTGATCATACTCCGAATCGCATGCAAAAAAAGTCACTTATCGTGCCTTACGCCACTGTGTTACTCCAAAAGTCTCCGCAATCCCAAATCAGCATTCGCGTATCTCCCGCTTACATCCACCAGTCTTGTCTCTTATTGGCCAGATGCGCATCCTGTTCCTGTACTATATACCCGGGATCACTTATCTTGCACCCTGGGCAGCTCAGCTCCGCCTCAGCGCCTTATCAGTACTGCACACGACATAACACGATTAGTGTTTCCTGACCCGTCTCCACGGTTCTCCAGCGGAGTTGGCTACTGCTTGCACGTTACACCATGGATGTTGGCCCGAATCTCTTTAGACGCGCCTGCTGCCCCATCTGTCTTGCTGGGGCTTTTCTGGCGTGACCGGGGCGTAGAGCGGACGGCAATGCTAGATGCGTTGCTTTATCTCCGAGCGCTGTCAGTCGCTTAGCATACATACTTACGTGTAAGTGACAGTGTTGTGGTTGACACAGCAGAGATAGAGGCGTCCGAAGCCGCTGTCTTGCATGGCAGATGGGGTATCATAAGAGTACGATGCAAGTGAAGAAATGTTTCTCTCGATTGTTGTATTCCTTCACTGTCGTTGATTCTGAACACTGTCTCGCGTTGCCCGCGTCGTCCTCTCTTCGTGCCGTTACTGGCCTCTCTTATCTCTGGGCGGACATTTGCTGTACGATTGACAAGCAGGGCCGTTTGATCTGCGATCGATACGCTGCTCCACTGATTCCTTCCCCATAAGGCTGGTAATCTACACCTCCGTCCTCCCGTGTCTGGGCAAATTAACGACTATTGACATCAAGACATTCTTATCGCTTTTTGTATATCCTCGTTGCCCACCACCTCCCTCCTGGAAAACGAATTGCAGAGCAAAAACCACTATAGCGCGGTAGCTGGCGCACTGCCATCATCGATCGCCGACCATGGATATGGAAAAGAAGTCTTCTGAGAAGTCAAGACCGGAAGTCGACCAGGCCACGGGCGACGTGGGCGAAGTCTTGAATGCTTCGGGTCACAAGCAGGAACTGGAGCGCAATTTCAGCCTGTTGAGCATTTGCGCAATTGGTATCACTACGGGAAATGTTTGGGCGGCGTTGGGAGGATCTATTGTTAGTACTCTTTTCTTTCCTGGCATAATGTATAGGCTACGACATGCTAATCATGCTTAGGTTATCGCGCTCTACAATGGCGGCCCGGCAGGTGTCATTTACGAATTCATTGCTGTCGCATGCTGTTACTTCATGATAGCGGCTTGTATTGCCGAGATGGCTTCTGCTATCCCTTCGTCGTCTGGTGTTTACCACTGGGCTAGTGTGACAGCAGGAGCGCGGTTTGGTAAAGTCATCGGCTTTTACGCAGGATGGTAGGTTCGAAGCATCACTCCCACATCTGCCGGGCATCTTGCCACCGACTTGGGAAGTTGTCTGAGAAAAGGCAAAACTAACACTACACAGGTGGAACGCTCTGGGTTGGATTTTCGGAACTGCGTCAATATCCTCCATCCTCGCCAACCAGGTCATCTCCATGTACGGCCTCTTCCACCCTGGCTATGCCTTCGAACGCTGGCACGTTTTCATCGTCTACCTCATTATCACTTGGATCGCCTGCTTCATTGTCATGTTTGCCAACCGCGCCTTGCCCAAACTCACAAACATTGGTCTGTTCTTTATCCTAATGGGCGTCTTCATCACCATCATGGTATGCGCCATCATGCCTAGCAGAAGCGGCAAGGGATATGCAAGTAACGAGTTTGTGTGGCGCGACTGGCAGAATCAGGCAGGTTGGAGTAGCGACGGCTTTGTGTTTTGCGCTGGCATGCTGAACGGGGCTTTCGCTGTGGGGACGCCGTAAGTCAAGCTTCTCGTCAACGAAGCACAATGTTGTAGTTACTTACAAACGAACAGCGACTGCGTCTCCCATCTCGCAGAGGAACTCCCCCACCCCCGAACCAACATCCCCAAAGCCATCCTCGCCCAATACACCGTCGGCTTCATAACCGCCTTGCTCTACCTCATAACAATCTTCTACTCTGTAAACGACCTCGACTCCCTCTTCACAAACCCTTGGCCCTTCCCCCTCGCCGAACTCTACCGCCAAGCTACAAACTCCCACGGCGGCTCCCTTGGCCTCTTACTCGTAATCTTCATCCCAACATTCTGTACAAACATCGGTTGCTACATAACCTCCGGCCGCATGCTATGGACCCTAGGCCGAGACGACGCAACTCCATTCCCCCGCTGGGTCGCTAAGATCGACAAGAAGTGGGAAAACCCGTTCAACGCGACCTTGGCGTGTGGTGTCATCAACACGATCCTAGGTTGTATCTACATTGGTTCGTCGACTGCCTTCTCCGCCTTTGTCGGCTCCTTCATCGTGCTGTCGTCAATGTCGTACCTCGCGTTCATTCTGCCCAACATCTTGACTCGCCGCCGCCACGTTATCAAAGGTCCTTTTACCATGCCTAACCCGGTGTTTTACACCGTGGCCAGCGTAGCGTGTGGGTACATGGTTGTATGGATACCGATCTATTGTTTCCCATTTGCGGTGCCGTTTGATACTACGACGATGAATTATACGAGTGCGCTTGTGGGGGGCGTGACAATCTTATTGGGAGGTTGGTATGTTTGGATCAGGAATCGGGGATATGTTGGTCCGAGGCGGCTGGTGGAGACTTTGGGGAATGGGGAGACGACCATTGTGGGGACTGAGGGGAGCATTTCTGGGGAAAAGGTCTGAGGATAGTTTTGATGGTTTTTTTTAAAATGCTTAACTAATAGAGAGTTTGCCTGTAAGAAACAGTTCGATGTTGAGATTTGTGTGGTCTTGTGTCTGATAGATGGACATGTGGGAAATACGAACTACGACTACCAAATAACCTGCCAACTTGTCCGACTAAATCCAACAATCTGACTAAACGCCTCATCCCTCTTTTCCACTTCATGCAGTATCCACTCATGCTCATCTCTATCGACGAGACGCAAGTCCTTGTTGCACTCCTTGAGCACCTTGACCATCTTTTCCACATGTCGGTCTTGCTTCTCTAGATAGCCAATCCGATCATACGGAAGAGAGAAGAGGCCTTGGTGCAATGGACCCTTTGCGACAAAACGTACTCCTGTACGGTTCATGATGAGACGTCCTGGCGATCCATCGTAATGGCAGGAGTACGAGGCAAAGTCCTGCCCTTCCGATGAGGCAGCAGCGTCAGGACTATTCGTATCCGTCAGGGTGGTCGTGTTCGCGCTAGCATTCTGCTTCTCAGTGACGACGCGGAGACCTTCGGCTTGCATGTACTGAATTGCCCACTCAGCGTGCGTTGGAATATTCCAGAACAGACGTTTTGAAGGCGAGACGAGGAGGCGGTAGTTTGGGAAGTTGACGGAGATGGGGAAGAGGCAGAAGAAGGTGAAACCGGCGGAGAATGTGGAGACTTTGATGAGTAGCCAGAGAGGCGTGAAGACCGTGATGAGAATACCCGTAGCGAGGACTACAAGGACGGCTAGTGTGCGCATTGGCTTTCTCCATTCGTAGAAGTTGCGGACACTCTCGAAGAAGTTTGCTAGATCGGCTAGCTGAACCATGAGCCAGGGACCGAGATCTTGGAGGAGATCGTGCGCCCAGTTCTCATCGCCTTGTTTTTCGATGAACTCGGTGAGCGAGAGCGCTGTTCTCTCCACGTCTTCGCGGTGTTTGATATCTTCGCGGAGGTCCTCGATAGACTGTCCGTGCAAGCGACGTTCTGCGACCAGATATAATACTACTGACAGAGCACCTGGTAAAAGGAGGTTCAAATACCAAAGGACAATGTAAATTACGAGGTACTTCGTTGTCTCGGCAGGGTACTCCCATCTGTATACACGACGGGTGGTCATGATGAACTCCTGGAACGGTGACGTCGCAACAATTAGGCGCTCAATGTTTGGCATGATTGTTTCCTTCGAGGGTGTCGGCGGATCAGAGCCGAATCCAATGTACTGTCCACCGTACCGATGAGCGTAATAGTCCAGTAAGTGCGAGCCATAAGCTCTCCAGTCAGTAACGGTACGGCCTGCGGTATCCTCTTTTTCAAAGTCCGATCTAGGCTTCAGTACCACTGTGTCGCGTGGTAGTATTCTAATCTTGGTAACATGTCGATCGAGCGACCATCGAACATAAGTACTTTGCCGCTGGTTGAGCATCTCAGCAAGATTCTCTTGAGCCTGCGCCTTTTTGGCTCCTGTCTTGGCCTGATTCACAGCAGTCGCTACGTTGACCAAATCCACCTCCCGGCCATGAGGAATTTCGCTTACAGCTATGTTTGCTGCAACTTCTTGATTTCCCTGACACCATCCTGCAGATTTCACCGTGTCGATCGGGTTGTGCAAAAGGTCCTTCAGTGTGTGCTTCTCCGATGCTGTAGACTTGTGGTCAAGGCGTGAGTTCGATTCCTTTATTTCGGTAGTATCAACAAGTACTATCGAATCTGGATCGGGCTCCTCAGCCTCATCTTCTGGCTTTGCGATATGCAGGGTCTTTCTAATCTTGACACCGGCATTATGTCTCTTCTGCCGAACCTTGTTGACTATCCTGCTAGTAGACGACGTGTTTGACGAAACATGATCCTCCGTACTTCTGTTGAGATCGTGTGAGTGAGGTATGTCGTCACTGCTACTTCCGGAGTGGTTTCCAGGTAGTTCAATTTGCCCTTGGTAAGTGATGTGTGATCGATCGAGCCCGATGTTCAGTTCGTCGACCTGAATGAGCTCTTTCTGGATATCCATATGGGTGGTGGCGCAGGGCGTCGGTTAGTTATGCGCGACGTGCGTAGGCTGCATTACTAGGTGTTATTAATGTAACGATAATGTTCGGGGACTGGATAAGTATATGAACATTCCCATCCAGCAGATCAAGTGCGAGCGAATATATGAGGGCTGCCATCGCGCCTTCCTTTGAGTGCGCGGTGGCCTTCGTTTGCTGAACCAGCGAGCACCGCGGAGCAGAGTGCCACGACGTCATTGTGTCAGGCGCTACCATCGAAATGAACTCGCGGGTGTATGAGACAGGAAAAGCTGAAGGGAAACTTGGTAGCTGTCTGTTGCCTCCGGGATTGGTGTTGGTGTCCGAATGAAGTCTAGAACTTTGTGAGCACCCCGATTGCCTGATAATCCTGGATGGTGGACCTGTCGGCAGGGAAGGCGCATCCAACCATGAGGCGGGGCGAGGCCGCACATGTCAGCAACTTCACATCGAGGGATTGATATATCAGAAGCAAAACCCATCATACCACAAGGCTTGAATCTCTGTCGAACAGGATCGCTTATCGAGAGGCATACACTAACCAACGTCTATCGCTTTTGCTCTATTGCCAGAAATCGTAGGTTTATCTTCGCACTTACCCCAGGAAGCCCCAACCTTCAAGTCATGAGACTATGTTGAAGTGCATCAAAATTATCACTATCGGGCAGGAAAGCGCTTCACGCGATCAAAATCAACCCTGATTCTCAATATTCGCAAGCTCTGTTCTGATGCTCATCACAACAGCAGTCAGTCAGTCAAGAGAAACGGGAAATGACATAATCACTCTACTCCATGGTCCAGTAGTTGAATCAAAAAAGACATGTCCCTCTGCATTTGTATTACAGGTCCAAAATATACATCTATGCGTGCCACAACCTCGCGACGGCCTCGGTGATACCAACATCGTTTGTCTCGAAAGAGTAGAGGGCAAGACCCAGAGCGACAGTTCCAGCGCGGAGAGCCCACATGGCGGCTGTTCGAGTCTTGGGAACACGCTTGGAGGGGAAGTAGTCGATGATGCAGGACCTGCATAACGTTAGCCACGGTAACCACTACAAACGCTTCCAATCAACATACTCGAAGCCAATGTGCGAGTGGACGACCAGAAGGGCGCAGAGAATAGAGTCGGTGAGCGGGTTCAGCGATCCAGCCGCGAAGGGGGCAATGGTCAAGGGAATCAGACCAGCGGAGACGATCCTCTCGAAGCTCCAGTGGTAGCTGCCGTGGGCGTAGTCGGGGTCTGGGACTGGGACTGGGTCGTTGGTGGTCCCAATGATCTTCTGGGGCAGCGGCGGCAGAATCTGGTTGCGCTGGGTGGCGTGGAAGGCGGCAATGCGCGTGGACTTTTGGATGGTGGAGCGCTGGAATGCTGGGCGAAGTTGCTGGACGAGCGGGCGGTTGATGGTCGACGCCGCAGTGGACAGCATGCGCTGCGACTGCTGGGCTGGCGGGCACGCTTGCCTGAGGAGGCCGGGACGCATGACGGAGGCCATTGTGTGCTGGAGGTTGAAGGTCGAGATCGAGGAGGTCGCTGCGATGCAATATCGGAACGACTTGGATGTTGACGACAATGCCTCGGATGTCGATTGCTGACGTCCCTGCTGCGCTCATTGGCTGGCGGTGCAGGCCGGGAAATCCCGTGATCGCAGATTTGACGAAACTCATCCACCTCACCTAGGCCAAGCTGCAGCTGGACGTCGATACATCCACCCCAACCCCATCTAACCAACTCCCATCCCCCCGCCACAGCGAGCAGACGCAATGGCTTCCCGCCGGCTCGCCCTCAACCTGCAGCAGAGCATGCGCTCTCGCTCCGCCATCAACGCCGTCAAGTCCTCGCGAGCCTCGCCTCTGACCCGCGGCCTGGCCACGCCCGTTGCCTACGGCGCGAAGACTGAATCCACTACCCTCGGAAATGGCTTCACGGTAGGCCCGACGCTGTAGCACTCTTCACGACTGCAATTGACCCATGCACCCAGATCGCTACCGAGCACTCCCCATGGGCCCAGACGTCGACCGTCGGTGTTTGGATCGACGCAGGAAGCCGCGCAGAGACGGACAAGACCAACGGCACTGCCCACTTCCTCGAGCACCTTGCCTTCAAGGTACGACATCAATGGCAATGGCCGGGACAAATGGCAATGAAGCAGGACTGATGCTTGGCACAGGGAACTCAGAAGCGCACCCAGCAGCAGTTGGAACTCGAGATAGAAAACATGGGCGGACACTTGAACGCCTACACCTCGGTACGTCATACCCACAAATCTCAAGTGAACGCACAATTAACCCAACCAGCGCGAGAACACCGTCTACTACGCCAAGGCCTTCAACAACGACGTCCCCGCCGCCGTCGACATCCTCTCCGATATCCTCCAAAACTCCAAGCTCGAGGCCCAGGCCATCGAGCGCGAGCGTGATGTCATCCTCCGCGAGCAGGAGGAGGTCGACAAGCAGCTCGAGGAGGTCGTCTTTGACCACCTGCACGCCACTGCCTTCCAGGGCCAGCCCCTCGGCCGCACCATCCTCGGACCCAAGGAGAACATCCAGAGCATCCAGCGCGCTGATCTCGAGAACTACATCAAGACCAACTACACTGCCGACCGCATGGTCCTCGTTGGCGCTGGTGGTATTCCCCACGAGCAACTCGTCGACCTCGCCGAGAAGTACTTCGCCAACCTCCCCTCGGAGCCCCAGGACTACTCTTCCAAGTCTGCCGCTGCCGAGCAGAAGGCGAAGCCCGACTTCATCGGTTCCGAGGTCCGCCTCCGTGACGACACCATGGGCACTGCCAATATCGCCATTGCCGTTGAGGGTGTTAGCTGGAGCGACCCCGACTACTTCACTGCGCTCGTCACACAGGCTATCGTCGGTAACTGGGACCGCGCCATGGGTACCTCCGACTACCTTGGCAGCAAGCTCAGCAACTTCGTCTCGCAAAACGCTCTGGCCAACAGCTTCATGAGCTTCTCCACCAGCTACTCTGACACTGGGTACGTCACTCCAAAAGGTACATGAAGATATCTGCTAACACCCTCCAGTCTCTGGGGTATCTACCTCACCAGCTCCAACCTCACCCAGCTCGATGACCTCGTCCACTTCACTCTCCGCGAGTGGTCCCGCCTCTCCATGAACGTCACCTCCGCCGAAGTCGAGCGTGCCAAGGCCCAACTCAAGGCCTCTATCCTCCTCGCCCTTGACGGCACCACCGCCGTCGCCGAGGACATTGGTCGCCAAATCGTCACCACTGGTCGCCGGTTAAGCCCCGAGGAGGTTGAGCGCGTTGTCGGCCGCATCACAGAGAAGGACGTTATGCAATTCGCCCGTAACAGGCTGTGGGACAAGGACGTTGCTGTCAGTGCCGTCGGACAGATTGAGGGTCTGTTGGATTACAACAGGATCAGGAACGATATGAGCAGGATGCTGTCATAGACAACTACTTCTTCTTTGAGACAAGCAAGAGGGGTTGAGGAAGGAAAGTGTTTATAGTGCCATGCTGTGAGCGTTTTTAGACGGCAGAAACATTGTAGTTTTGTGTACACTTAGTCGATGAGTATTTTGACAAGGAAGATTTCAAACTAGCTGTGCCTCTTGAGTTGATGGTGCCTTTATCCCTCACACCCAGGAATATTGTCGTGCTCGGTCCTAAAGACATGAACCTGGCCCACGTTGCATCGAATGTACGTCTTCTGACCCATAATACTCTTCCACACGACCACATGATTGACGAAAAGCAATTGGGCAAAAGGTTCTCTCCTTGCGAACTGATCTGGTAGGTAGCACGAATAGATTCTTCCCCAAGAATAGACTTCTTCAGCCTCGTCATGAACTCGCCTGCTAACCCGCAAGCAGAGAGCCAGTGATGGAGCTCGGTATAGTCTGAAGTCGGTGAAACGCTTTTTCGTTCTTTGCAGAGTTAGTCGTCTGGTGTATAGAAGACTTTGCCAACAACGACGACCAGTGCTTCGTATACCATGACTCGTATTTCATCAGGGCAAATCCCATGAACCGGAAGGGAGTGAAGGCGGTCGGTCGTAACCCGGCTGATCCGTGGTGATATGAGTGAAGACGATCGTGTGCCCTACTCATTGATGGTGGTGGTCGTGGTCGTGGTCGTCTCTACCATCGGAGACAATGGTGGTTGTCGACAGTCTGGGCAGGTGGCGACAAGTTGACGGAGTCCATGGTTGCTGCTTGGCCATGCGAAATGTGTGTTGTCAGATCTGTTAGTCACGCGTGTAGAGCCAGTCCTAATTTTACCATCTTTCAAGAGAATAAGTCGAGTTGTCGAGATTGTGATCCGTGCCGAAATTTTGTAGAGCTGATGTATGTGTGTATACGTGTGTGTGTGTGAGAGAGAGAGAGGGGGAGAGACAGTCCGACTTCATCGGCACTGTGAGGAACGGCAGCCTAATGCCGTCAAGCACAAAGAGTGGCAGCAACAATACGTCGCGGTCACGACTCCTCGCAAGCAGGTGCGTGACGTAAGCATCGCAATGTGAAAGGAGCATTCAGTTCGTAGCAATCATGGAACATCAATACTGAGCATTCGCCAAGCCATACCTCGACTAGAAAGTAAAACAAACTTAACAAGCAGATATCTTTGATTCTAATCCTTGAAAAGATTGTAGGAATAGCAAAGCTATGATAAGTAGCCACCAGCCGCACTCTAGTCGCAAAGGAAGCATATTGACATGTAAGTCGAGACTTGTATAGATAGAGAAGGGATAATAATGGGTGCCACAGGGGCAGGTGCGCATGTGTGACAAGACACATGGTAAGAGGATGTAGACAGGATTGAAAATTTGTAGTCTAAACAAAGCGCATACCCGGCCCTGAAGTCACACCTAGGATATACCCTTCATGCCACACTGAGAAAACGATGAATCTAGCCATCATTAACCGTTTGCTTACCAAGATGCACCATATCACCACTAAACCCCTGCCGTTTTTGCGTCTGTGTTATTGGTTTTTCGAATTTATGCCT